CCCACGGAGCCATGTGTATCCTCTGTCTCAAGAGGAGAAGAAAGCTATGGAGACTTACATAGAAGAATCTCTGAGACAAGGATACATACGGCCTTCCACTTCCCCTGCGTCCTCAAGTTTCTTTTTTGTGAAGAAAAAGGATGGTGGTTTGCGCCCGTGCATCGATTACCGTGGTCTCAATCAGATTACGGTGAAGTACAGTTATCCACTCCCGCTGATTGCGACCATGACTGAGTCGTTGCATGGGGCGCGTTTCTTCACTAAATTAGATCTCAGGAGCGCGTACAACTTGGTGCGCATCAGGGAGGGCGATGAATGGAAGACAGCCTTTAGTACCACCTCGGGCCATTACGAGTATCTGGTCATGCCATACGGGTTGATGAACGCTCCGTCAGTTTTCCAATCATTCGTGGTTGAGATCTTCAGGGACATGCAGGGGCAGGGGGTGGTTGTGTACATTGATGACATTCTCGTGTACTCGCCTACCCGTGTCGAGCATGTGGCCCTGGTGCGTAGAGTGTTGCGGAGGCTGGTGGAGCACGACCTGTATGTGAAGGCAGAGAAGTGTCTGTTTTTCCAGGAGTCGGTCTCCTTTTTGGGGTATCAGTTGTCTGCGGCAGGGGTGAAGATGGAGGTAGACCGGGTGTCGGCCGTGCGTAATTGGCAAACACCAACCACTGTGAAGGAGGTGCAGCAGTTTTTGGGGTTTGCGAATTACTACCGGAGGTTTATCCGGGGTTTTGGACAGGTGGCAGCTCCCATCACGTCTCTTTTGAAGGGGGGTCCGGTGCGTCTTCAGTGGTCGGCCGAGGTGGACAGGGCGTTTGGGAGGCTGAAGGACCTGTTTACCTCGGCCCCGGTGCTGGCGCATCCGGATCCCTCTTTGCCGTTCCAGGTAGAGGTGGACGCGTCAGAGGCCGGTCTAGGAGCCGTGCTCTCACAACGGTCTGGCGCGCCACCTAAACTCCGCCCCTGTGCCTTTTATTCTAAGAAGCTCAGTCCGGCGGAGCGGAACTATGACGTAGGGGACAGGGAGCTGTTAGCCGTGGTACAGGCCCTAAAGGTGTGGAGGCACTGGCTTGAGGGGGCTCAACACCCTTTCCTCATTTTGACGGACCACCGTAACCTGGAGTACATCCGGGCAGCGAGGAGGTTGAACCCTCACCAGGCAAGATGGAATATGTTCTTGACCAGGTTTACTTTTAAGATCACGTACATCCCTGGGTCACAGAATGGTAAGGCAGATGCGCTGTCTCGGCGGTATGACACGGAGGAGAGGTCCGTGGAGCCCACTCCCATACTGCCGGAGTCGTGTCTGGTGGCACCGGTAGTGTGGGAGGTCGATTCTGAACTCGAGCGGGCGTTACGAACCGACCCTAGTCCACCACAGTGCCCGGAGGGTCGGAAGTACGTTCCGCTCGAGGTTCGGGATCGATTGATCTATTGGGCTCACACGTCACCCTCCTCTGGACATCCGGGTATCGGCCGGACAGTGCACTGTCTTAGTGCCAAGTACTGGTGGCCCACGTTGGCAAGGGATGTGAGGGTTTATGTTTCCTCCTGCTCGGTGTGCGCCCAGTGTAAGGCGCCTAGACATCTGCCTAGGGGTAAGTTACTACCCCTGCCCGTGCCACAACGACCATGGTCCCACCTCTCGGTGGATTTCCTTACTGACCTTCCTCCTTCACAGGGGAATACCACTATACTGGTCGTTGTGGACCGGTTTTCTAAGGCCTGTCGTTTGCTCCCCATGCCGGGCCTTCCTACCGCCCTACAAACTGCTGAAGCCCTATTCACCCATGTGTTCCGGCACTACGGGGTACCCGAGGATATTGTGTCTGATCGGGGTCCCCAATTTACCTCCAGAGTCTGGAGGGCCTTTATGGAGCGGTTGGGGGTCTCGGTGAGCCTCACCTCGGGTTACCACCCGGAGAGTAATGGGCAGGTGGAACGTGTAAACCAGGATGTGGGCAGGTTTCTTAGAACATACTGCCAGGACCGGCCGGAGGAGTGGGCAAGGTACGTTCCCTGGGCCGAAATGGCCCAGAATTCCCTACGCCATTCCTCCACTAACCTAACCCCTTTCCAATGTGTGTTAGGTTACCAGCCGGTTCTGGCACCCTGGCAGCAGAGCCAGATCGAGGAGACCTGGAACGCTGCACACGTCCACCTGCAGCGGGCCCTCCGACGTCATAAGGCGAGCGCTGATCTCCACCGCAGTGAGGGACCGGTGTACGCACCTGGTGATCGAGTCTGGCTCTCTACCAGGAACCTGCCCCTCCGCCTGCCCTGTCGGAAACTGGGTCGGCGGTTTGTAGGGCCATTTAAAGTCCTGGGAAGGTTGAACGAGGTGTGTTATAAATTACAGCTACCTGTTGAATATAAAAGTATTAACCCCTCGTTCCATGTGTCCCTTCTCAGGCCGGTGGTAGCTGGCCCACTCCAAGACAGTGAGATCAGGGAGACTCCTCCGCCCCCATTGGACATCGAGGGGGCACCGGCGTACTCCGTGAGGTCCATCTTGGATTCGAGACGTCGGATGGGGGGTCTCCAGTATCTAGTGGAGTGGGAGGGGTACGGTCCGGAGGAGCGGTGCTGGGTGCCGAGGAGAGACATTTTGGACCCGTCTCTCCTGACGGAATTCCATCGTGGGCACCCAACGCGCCCGGCTCCGCGTCCTCCGGGTCGTCCCCGAGGCCGGAGTCAGCGCACGTCTGGAGCCGCGCGTCAAGGGGGGGGTACTGTCACGGTTTCGGCCGAGGCTGCCTCTCTCCCTTGTTCGGGCAGGCTTCGGCGTTCGTTGTCTCCGGAATACTAGCTTCCACCGTTGTATGTTTCATGTTCGTTTGCTTTTGTCTGAGTGTTGTCACACCTGTTTTCATTTAGTGTCATTAGTGTCCTATTTAGTTCCCGTTGTGTTTGTCAGGTGTTGTGTATTATTGATTGTGTCAGACGTGTTTTCGCTCGGTTGAGCTTCTCTCCACTGCGCTGGAGTTTACGCACCTGTTTGTGCGCTGTTTGGTTTCTTTTTCGCCTTCGTGCGTATTTCGCCTTCGGGCAAGTGTTGTCCGTTTGCCGTGTTTCGGCTTAATACAAGTCTGTTGGATTATCCGTCTGCGTCCTGCGTTTGATTCCGCCACTGCACCTACAGCACGCCTTGACACTGCGACCTGGCCAAGATAAAGCAAAGTAGTGCGATAAAAACAACAACAACACAGAGTTACACATGAGATAAACAAAACATACAGTCAATAACACAATAGAACATCTATATACAGTGTTTGCAAATGTAATAAGTTATGGAGGTAAGGCAATAAATAGGCCATAGTGCAAAATAATTAAAATTTAGTATTAACACTGGAGTGATAGATGTGCAGAAGATGATGTACAAATAGAGATACTGCGGTGCAAAATAAATAACAATATGGGGATGAGGTAGTTGGGTGGGCTAATTACAGATGGGCTGTGTACAGGTGCAGTGAACGGTAAGCTGCTCTGACAACTGATGCTTAAAGTTAGTGAGGGAGATAAGAGTCTCCAGCTTCAGAGATTTTTGCAGTTCTTTCCAGTCATTAGCAGCAGAGAACTGGAAGGAATGGTGGCCAAAGGAGGGGTGATATACCTGCTGGAGCGCATACCACGGGTGGGTGTTGCTATGGTGACCAATGACTTCAGATAAGGCTGGGATTGATGACCTGGAGCCAGTGGGATTGGCGACGAATATGTAGTGAGGGCCAACCAACGAAAGCGTACAGGTCACAATGGTGGGTAGTATATGGGGCTTTGGTGACAAAACGGATGGCACTGTGATAGACTACATCCAATTTGCTGAGTAGAGTGTTGGAGGCTATTTTGTAAATGACATCGCCGAAGTCAAGGATCGGTAGGATAGTCAGTTTTACGAGGGCATGTTTGGCAGCATGAGTGAAGGAGGCTTTGTTGTGAAATAAGAAGTCGATTCTAGATTTAACATTGGATTGGAGATGCTTAATGTGAGTCTGGAAGGAGAATTTACGGTCTAACCAGACACCTAGGTATTTGTAGTTGTCCACATATTCTAAGTCAGACCCGCCGAGAGTAGTTGTAGAAAATATATTCAAAATAGCTTCTGAAATTTCGAAATTGTAAGTTCGTTAAAAATAGTCTAATATGGGAGTTTTTTTCAATTTCCTGAAAAGTGTCTGTTTTGGAGATGAGGTTTTCACCCGACAGCGGCGCTATGCGTCTGTATGTGCCTATGTGTGTGTTTAGTGGCTCACTGCCTTCAGATGTTATGGTGTAAGTACCAGAGGAGGCTGGTGGGAGGTGCTATGAGGACGGGCTCATTGTAATGGCTGGAATGGAATAAATTAAATGGTATCAAACACATCAAACATATGAAAACCACATGTTTGACTCCATTCCATTTACTCTACTCCAGACATTACAATGAGGCCGTCCTATAGCTCCTCCCACCAGCCTCTTCTGGTAAGTACAGCACCTGGCCGGCTCAGCCTCCTCCAGAGAGAGAAAGTCAAAGGAGGCGTAGGTCAAGACCAGCTGCTCCAGCCTCGCACACAGCTGCTGGGAGAAGTCTAACAACTGGAGAGATGGACAAACACATAAATAAATAAATAAATAAATAAATACAGACAGACAGACAGACAGACAGACAGACAGACAGACAGACAGACAGACAGACAGACAGACAGACAGACAGACAGACAGACAGACAAATACACACAATTACTCAATACACACCACTCTCAGTTTACAGCATCTCTTGATTTTTCTCTATTATTTCTGAAACCTCTCATAAGCCTTTATTCTTGACCAGAGTTGATTCACAGATACATTTATGTTTGTGTGAAGTGTAGAATACATTTAATATCAATAAACAGTGCAAAGGGAAGGGATCACTGCCGCTACCTCACTTTCCAACCAAGGTGCATGAATTGAAGATAGAGAGGCGATTCAGCAACACTTGCCAATAAAGAGGGACAGTTTTGTCCTACCCGGATTCAGGTGAGTAGGATTGTGTTTCGAAAGGCTCTTACTCGTGAGCGGATGTACACGGGCAGAGGCGTGCGCTGGGGCAGGGAGCTGCGAGCGGTCGACTCCAGGTAAGTGAAGTAGGGCTGACAGGTCCGCAGGAAAGTAGGCACCAGACGAGCAAAGTTTTCCTTTTGCAGATTGTCACGTCTGCAGACAACACACACACATGTTTATGTCACAGGACAGGGATTCATTATGTATTACTTTAATCCTTTTGATAAATAATAAACAATAACTTGAAACACCACTAGATGCAATTGTATAGTTTAGGTGCACTAATCATTGACTCACCTAACCTTTACCTATCATTATCTTAGACTACATTAACAACTTTCCTAACTGACTCTAACGTTACCTGTATAAAAGATGTGCCTGAAACTCATCCGCCTTATTCAGCAGGTACTGGAGTTGCTGTTCAATGGGTCTGAGCTTCTGATCCATCATGTTGATGTCATGGCATGAGGACGTGGACTTCCAAGCCGCATCCCCTGTGCTGTCCCTTTGATCGCCACATGAGGGCGCCAAAGCACGATCCTCTAAATGCTCCACATTTTCTGAGAAATTGCGGGAAATAATTTGCTGATTTGAGTTTGACTAGCAGAGTTAGCACGTTTTTCGTCTACATAATTATTAAGCTACCTATGCATTTTGACAGAAAGTCACCTGTGTCTGGTGATGATTCAGGATTATTTTTCGTCTCCCCCCGTTCCATGCTTTCTTCCTATGTGACCTGGCTTTCTGGTGAGTTTGCTTAGGTTGACACCTCCTCGAAATCCTTCATTAGCTAGCTAGCTTTAGCTTGTCAGATAGCTAGCAACTGCACTATAAGACACGGGTTTCTTGTGTGTTGTGTATTAATTGAACACTTTACAAGTTACAACTTTCTGAGCCAGTATTTTCATGAATTGAGGATAGTTAGCTATTAGCTAACTAAGCGACACCTACGCCACTTTCCCCAATCCTCTGAATGCTTGTGAAGAGCTCATGTGCAGCGCCATGGACGTTCCGGTCCCACGGTCAGTCCAGGACTTGACAAGTACGGTTCTCAACCTCTCTCCGTCTCCTCTTTCCCTTGGTGTCTATAGCTGACGCTCGGTCCCGTCTCAACTGATTTAGTCTGTCTGCAGGCTAGCCTAGCGCGAGAACTACTACTACGAGAGCGTGTGAAGCAACCACTAGAGCGAGCGGACCCCTCTGCTAGCCGAAACATGCACAAAACCTCTTGACAATTATGTGGTCTTATTTATATACATAATTGGAGATAGACAACCCTTCTGCCTAGGAAGACTAATAAATAAATGATTGCAAAATGTTAAAAAAAAGACCATATATCTTACACCATTGTCATTGTCAAGCCAAATATTATCGTTTGTTTGACAACACTGGTATAAAAAAATAAATGCTTTGATTTGTCAATATTAGTATCCCCAGTAACTATATGAATAGAGTTATACTAACTAACTCTATCAAAAGTCTAGAAGTGAGTGTGCGGAGTGCAGACTGATGATGACCACCGGCTCCACGCTTCGATTCATGGCTCTTTCAGTTCTTGCCACCAGAGGGCAACATTGATACATAAAACCCCACTGAATCGAAGTGAATTGGGTTACATTACATTTTAAACTTTTTAGAGATTTCGTATGTGATCAGAACATGTATTAATCTCTCGGCGTGGTCGCTGTGCGCTGTTGTAGTTGACATAATCGTGTATGACGTAATATATGAGCCTATGACGTAAACGCAGTCAAAAAATGATTAAGTTGATTGGCTCAGTTGAGTTGATAGTTTGCGTAGGACAGTCATCCTCATGTTCAAAGACATTACTTTGCCTGGACAAGAAATTCTGTGTAACTGTATGTACAGCTAAATTTACCAGGATTTTATTTAAAATGTTAGAAAATTGAAGATAAAAATGTATTTGTTTATAATTTTTCTATCATGGTACAGGTCCAATCTGAAGTATGTTTTAAAATAAAATGGGTAAAAGTCATAAACGGTTGAGGAGAGTTTGTCTAAAGGTAAGTCTCATATAAGAAAATAAAAAAAGTTATCTGTGCGTCTCTGTAATGGGGAAATATTTTTAGTAGTACAGCCATATGCTAGGGGTTTTAAAACCTCTCCTTGACGACCCCCAGACGTTCCACTGTATTCCACAGCTAGCACACCTAATTCAACTTGTCAACTAATCATTAAGCCCTTGAATAGGTGAATCAGGTTTGCTTGTTTAGGGCTACAACAAAATTGTGAAATGTCTGGGGTTCCCCAAGGAGAGGGTTGAAAACCACTGGCCTATGCAAAAACAGACTGATATGCTTTATGTTTGGAAAAGTGGGCATAAAAATGGAGGGCTCAAGTGTAATTTATTTCATTATATTCCTCTACCCCAGGCTGGGACCCTCCAAGTTAGTGCTGGAGAACAGGTGCTTCAGACAGATGACCATAATGGACCAAGGCTGCCAGCACTGGTGGACTGCCCCAAGAACAGCCCCCTAAAGGTTAGAAACGGCTTTGAGTTCTGTTGCAAAATGCTTTGAACAGTTCAGAATGAAATACGTATCAGTTCAATTGGAAAACGTTCAAAACGTTTTGTAACGTTAGGCATGCTGAATGTACTCCAGGCAAACCTCTCAGAGCAGACTGGTTGGCTCTAAGCCACACCTACTTCAATTGTGATTAGGCTTTTAATGTGATTAAGCCCTGCCCACTTCCAATTTTGGTCCCCTCTTCGAATCAAATCCCGAGTGCCTGCCACATCCGTTTTGATTGGCTCTTGGTCAGAAATGCTATGCCTTAATTGGACATCCATTTTTATTGGTTCGTTGGTCAAGTGGATAGTGCTGTCATTCATATGCTAATGATGTATAGGGCTAAACCACGCTTGTCCATTTTTGGTCACCCCTAATCTGAGCTCCGCCCACATCCATTTTGATTGGCACCTTGGTAGGGGATGGGCAGGTTGTATACTGGGCCATGTTCAGTGGCAAAACGTTGTTGAACATTGCCGATACAAATGCCATGACTAGAGATTACGTGATTCCTTATTCTACATGTTTAAGAGGCATGTTTGTTCATTATAGCGTAATTCTATCTGAATGTTGCTAAACGTTGTCTTGCTGAACATGCCCCTGGTTGTATAAGGACGTTTTGTTTTGAAATCTTTACCTGGTTGTAACTGAGAGTTGGTTGTAATGTAAGTTAAATGACGTGTTCTCAACCAGTTTTTTTTTTACAATGAGATAATGATGCATGGGTCACTTACTGTACTAGTTAGAACCAATAGCATTCAAATTCTGATTCTTATTCTAATTCTAAAGTTAGCCCTTATGTGACATGTCACTCAGTACCGTCATGTCTATGGTGAAAGAGATGGTTTCTATGGTGATACGATTTTGCTAATATTGTTGTTTATCTCAGAACTTTGTGCCGAAGCCCCCACGAGGCCCCAGGCTGAGCGGTCAGGCCAAGATGACCGTGGTGTTTCAAAAAAAATTAAAAAATAAAAAGTACAGGGTACAAATACAGGGTTCATATTCAATGTGAACAAAACTCCAGGATACAACAAAGGGTACAACAATGTGCCATTTCCTATTTATGGAAGCCCCACTACTGTGGACAGTTGATTCCACATTTTGTTTTAAGAAAGAAAACTTTCTGAGTGATTTATAAACAAAACACACTACCCTGTATCCATTTAGGTAAAATATACCAAATCAGAAAAGAAATTCAATTCAAAGAGGCTTTACTAGCATGACCATATTGACATACAGTATTGCTAAAGCACATAAACAGGGAAACGTGTTACACATTAACATCCAGTAGTCCAATAGGATGCAGACAATAAACATTAAGTTAACATTCGTTTAAAAGCAACAATCATGTCAACACAATGTAGCAATATGAACAACACTGATGGATATCAGCAACAACATGAAAACAAGAATATTACAGGTGTCTGTGTGTGTGTGTGTGTGTGTCTGTGTCTTTGTGTACTTCGCTGTCAGTTGATGAGCAGGTGTACAAAAAAAGGCTTTACAACATATATGGGCAAGTCCATTTAGGACAGCACATTTACACCATAGTTCACATTAGGAAAAAATGACAGCATGAATGCTCACTAAACAAACATATACTACATATACCTTTTTATACACATTTTTTTTCAGTAATTTTTTAAGAGTGAAAGGGAAGTAAGCAATCGCTCATCATAGGATCATACATATTTCAGTTACAATATTAGTTACAATATTAGTGTTAGTTAGATCATCATGTCAAAGCTGGACCTGCAAAGTCTGAACGACACAAGTGTGCAATGATTGGAGTGATTTTGTTTCTTTTTTTTCTTGCTTTGCTTGTTTTCAAAAGGAAAAATCATAGTTGGTAAAAAATAAAATAAACTTTCGTTGAAATGTATCACACTGTATAATTTACAAATATCTAAAGAGGTTTAGTGGATGCCATAAAACATCTGTGGAGCTTGAAGATTTGTAGTACATAGATGTTTGGCAGAGATAATTTAAAAGAATAAAATCATAAACTCTATCTATCTATCGAGAGAGAGAGAGAGAGAGAGAGAGAGAGAGAGAGAGAGAGAGAGAAGTGTTTCCTTAGAGCAGTACATGCAGCAATCACTTAATGGAGTGATGTCATAATGGGCCACAAAACTTTGGGGATGTGGATGGAAAGTTACAGGCAGGAGAGGGGAACCAACAGAAGCAGGTCTTGAGACATGAGTTTGCCCCTTTTTGAAAACCTCTTGAGAGAGGATTGGTGGGATATATATACATACATACAAACATACATACACTCTAGTAGTGTGTGGAACTACTGGTACTGTGAGGAAAAAAAGATGAAAAATAAAACAAGCTTCAGCTTCTTAAGACACGGTGGGTTCATCTAAGTAGACACATGTAACTTCATGTGGACACCAGACTGTCTTTGTCTACACATCTAACTTCATATGGACCCCAGACCGTCTCTGTTTACACATGTAACTTCATATGGACACCAGACTCTTTGTCTACACATGTAACTTCATATGGGCACCAGACTGTCTCTGTCTACACATGTAACTTCATATGGACACCAGACTGTCTTTGTTTACACATTTAACTTCATATGGGCACCAGACTGTCTCTGTCTACACATGTAACTTCACATGGACACCAGACTCTTTGTCTACACATCTAACTTCATATGGACACCAGACTCTCTGTCTACACATGTAACTTCATATGGACACCAGACTCTTTGTCTACACATGTAACTTCATATGGACACCAGACTCTTTGTCTACACATGTAACTTCATGTGGACACCAGACTGTCTCTGTCTACACATGTAACTTCACATGGACACCAGACTCTTTGTCTACACATCTAACTTCACATGGACACCAGACTTTGTCTACACATCTAACTTCATATGGACACCAGACTCTCTGTCTACACATGTAACTTCATGTGGACACCAGACTGTCTCTGTCTACACATCTAACTTCATATGGACACCAGACTCTTTGTCTACACATGTAACTTCATATGGACACCAGACTGTCTCTGTCTACACATGTAACTTCATGTGGACACCAGACTCTTTGTCTACACATGTAACTTCATATGTACACCAGACTCTTTGTCTACACACGTAACTTCATGTGGACACCAGACTCTTTGTCTACACATGTAACTTCATGTGGACACCAGACTCTTTTTCTACACATG